AGGATCACTCGTTTGGAAATACTTCGACTCAATGATGATTAATTATTGTCTTATTGTTGCCTTAAACTAATTATAGTTTAAGCGTCTGAGTATTGTTTGCCTTAAACTAATTAAAGTTTAAGCGTCGGAGAACTGTTGCCTTAAACTAATTATAGTTTAAGCGTCTGAGAATTGTTTGCCTTAAACTAATTATAGTTTAAGCGTCTGAGAATGAAATTATGATCTAGCCTTAGACTAAGAATAGCTAAGAGCGTTGTTATGATCTGGCCTTAGACTAAGAATAGCTAAGAGCGTTGTTATGATCTGGCCTTAGACTAAGAATAGTTAAGAGCGTTGTTATGATTTGGCCTTAGATTACGAACGATTTAAGAGCACTATCGAAATAATAAGTGAATTGAATAAAATATGTTGATAAGAACTGAATAATATCAAAACTGTGAATGTCTGAAGTGAACATTGTGTGCATGATATCAAATGATTTGATTATGAATTTAGATTCAGTTTATATGGATGTTTGACGCATTAGATATGCTTACTCAGCTTTACCGCTGAGCGTGTAGTATGTTTTATTTGCTACACGCAGGTAAACAAAAAGAACAATGTGAACCTGGTGGCAGATGAGGCGGGATTGTCGGGATGGATGTGACAAGTTTTGAAATGAATTATGATATGTCAATTTTTAATTCGCTTCAGCAATATTGTTGAATACTCCATACTGTATATGTTATGAAAAATATTATTGTGATAAATAAAAGTGTTTGAAAAGTTTTAAATTTTTACGATTTCCAAGTTAATACTTTAGTCCAAAAGGGGCTGCAGACCTGGACGGATTAGGGTGTTACACTTTGACTCATCAAATTCTCTCAATGTGTAAGGCTAAATATACTCCCTCCGTCCCACTGTCTTTGTCCACTTACCTTTTGGTACACCATCCAATGCACTTCTTTAATCCATTTTATCTTGTAATTTGTATATTAAAAAATTATAAAAATTATATATTAATAATCTATATGTTAAGACGAATCAAACAAGATCACACATGACTTTTTTTAGTCTTACACATTGAGAATTTGATGAGTCAAAATGCTTAGATGAACAGTTCCAAAAGTCAAAACAGGACAAAGACAATGGGATGGACGTAGTAGATTATTAATATATAATTTCTATAATTTTTTAATATACAAATTACAAGATAAAATGGATTAAAGAAGTGCATTGGATGTTGTGTAAAAATAAAAGTGGATAAATACTCTGGGACTGAGGGAGTACCATGCAAAAAGAAAAGAAGAACACTGCACCTAGGCCTTTGCCGTTGCTCAGCTTGCCATGTCTGTCGGGCCACCAATGACTTCGAGGGGCTTTGTGTTCCGTTTGCTTTGATGGAAGGAGACGATGAATGCTGTGTATCGGAAGAGCCATGGGCGTGGAGTTGGTAAAAAAATAATGCTACTTTGAGCCCAAGAACATAAACTCCATGAATTGAATTGGCAATAAGATGCAGGATTAAGCTATTTTTACACCAAAATTTGTACCTCATTTTGTATTCTAAAGTCATACACTGACATTTTGTAATAGTGTGATATTAATGTGATGAATTGCATTGACAAAAAATTTCGATGCAAATTTTTTTAATTGAACTAATATTTTGTCAGTGTGAATCGTTAAAATATCGATGCATTTCCTTGAGGTACAATTTGAGATGCAATTTTGGTGTACCCGTGGCATGGTTATACGATTAATCCGGTGTAAGAGTGTCTAGTGGTTGTTGGGCATGTACCCTATGGGGTCCCACCCCCCTCTTTTTAGGGGGGCTGTGCTCCTCGCTCGATCACTTTTATTATTAGTATTATAAATATAAAAACTTCAGTACGAACAAAAAGACGAAACTATATAAGCCTTTTTTATATTGACGGTTCAATCCCCTCTTTAGGGAAGGAGAAGAGCATTTTCATTGCTTACATTCGGATGAAAAAGAATGGCCTTAAAGTGAGGTGGGTTTTATTTGAAGCTCTCCTATTTTCTTTAATAACTCTTATGTATATCAATAATATTTTCCTTGTTTTTTTATAGCAAATTTTTGTGCATCCCATCTTATTACGTAGCATTAATAAGTTGGAACTTATAAAACGAGCAATATATTACAATATCAATGCATTAAAGTCCTTTGCAAAAAGTCCAATCTTTTGCGATATCAATACATTAAGATCCATAAAATTAACATTGATCTTAGGACTGTGGAAGAATTTTGCAACATTTATATAGTTTTTGTACCAAAAAAAAGAGAGACACACTTGCCTATTTATAAAATCCCCTCCAACCCCCAGCGAACCAGTTGAGCCCCCTTGGATTTCCAAACATATCCTTTAACTCTTAGGCTGTGAGGTAGAATCCTATTATGAGCTTGTATGGCAATGGGCAACAACTTCAACATTTAACTTTAACGTTCTAAAAAGTTAGCTAAGGGGGACATAATTTGCTTCACATTTCTTTGAAAACAAAATAGTTGTGATCACAATATCTACTACAGTTTTAAGGACAAAGTTAAAGAAGTCATACACACTTAGAGGAGAAAAGCAACCAAGATATTACCCCAACTTCATTGCTTTCATGCCTTTCTCACTCTTGAATTTTGCAAGAGCTTGATCAAAGGTGCTCCTAGTGTGCTCGCACATAAGCATCAGATCATGGCATGCGTCTTTCAGCACTTCCACAGCCGGATCACCTGCAGTTACCATGAGTGAAGAACAATAACAACCATTTCTGTAAATTTGGACAGAAAAAAAAAGAGGGTGGGCTGTTAAAACAAGGCATTTCAATATGGTGATAACTGTGAAAATAAGGCTCCTCAAGATGGTGAAAAGTGTGAAAAACAAGGCTCTTCGAGATGGTGAAAACTGCTAAAACAAGGCTCTTCAGGTGGTGAAAAGTGTGAAAACAAGGCTCTTCAAGATGGTGAAAAGTGTGAAACAAGGCTCTTCAAGATGGTGAAAACTGCTAAAACAAGGCTCTTCAGGGCGGTGAAAAGTGTGAAAACAAGGCTGTTCAGGGTGGTGAAAAGTGTGAAAACAAGGCTCTTCAAGATGGGGAAGGCAAATGAAACATTTCGAATACCTCTTCCTAACAAGAACTAAAACAAATTACAAAGCCTATGTTTCTATCTACTAGGGTGCAAGATGAAGAACATATGTTAGAGAAAGAGAGCTGTTTCCTTGCAATGAAAATAACAGTTTGAATGTTTACCTGTAGTCTGGACTCTTATATTAACCCGAGCCTCTAAAGGATGCAGAATGTTGTACCCACAAATGTGAAGCAAATTATGTCCCCTTAGATAACCTTTTAGAATGTTAAAATTAAATGTTGAAGTTGTTTCCCGTTGCCATACAAGCTCATAATAAGATTCTACCTCATAGCCTAAGAGTTAGAGGATATGTTTGGAAAATGAACCGGTGGGACTCATCTGGTTCGCTGGGGTTGGAGGGGATTTATAAATAAGTAAGCTTATCTCTTTTTTTGTTGGTACGAGAACTATATAAATGCCTAAAAATTCTTCTGCAGTTCTAAGATTCATGTTAATTTTATGGATCTTAATGTATTGATATCTTAAAGAATTGGATTTTTTGCAAAGGACTTTAATGCATTGATATTGTAAAATATTGCTCGTTTTATGAGTTTCAACTTATTAATGCTACGTAATAAGATGGGATACACTAAAATTTTCTATAAAAAACAAGGAAAATATTATTGATATACATAAGAGTTATTAAAGAAAATAGGAGAGCTTCAAATAAAACCCACCTCACTTTAAGGCCATTCTTTTTTTATCCGAGGGTAAGCAATGAAAATGCTCCTCCTTCCTTAAACAGGGGATTGAACTGTCAATATAAAAAAGGCTTATATAGTTTCGTCTCTCTGTTTGCACTGAAGTTTTGATATTTATAATAATAAAAGTGATCGAGCGAAAAAAGAGGGGGGGACACCCCAGAGGGTACATGCCCAACAACCACTAGAGGCTCTTACACCGGATTAATCATATAATCATGCCACGGGTACACCAAAATTGTATCTTAAATTGTACCTCAAGGAAATGCATCGATATTTTAATGATTCAAATTGATAGAAAATATTAGTTCAATTAAAAAAATTTGCACCGACATTTTTTGTCAATGTAATTCATCACATTAATATCACATTATTACAAAATGTCAGTGTATGTCTTTTGTATATAAAATGAGGTACAAATTTTGGTGTAGAAATAGCTCGATCCTTCATCTTATTGCCAATTCAATTCATGGAGTTTATGTTCTTGGGCTCAAAGTAGCATTATTCTTTTACCAACTCCATGCTCATGGCTCTTCCGATACACAGCATTCATCGTCTCCTTCCATCAAAGCCAACGGAACATAAAGCCCTAGTTTTATCTAGCTATCATGGAGTTTATGTTCATAGTGTTCTTTTTTCTTCTTGCATGGTAAAACTTTTTTTTTATGTTCAGTGTTTGTTTAAGCTTGAATTATACAATCCAACAAAAATCTATTCCCTCCGATTGCTACAGGGCCATTCCCGAGAACTCAAAGGCCTGTGCCGAAACAAAAAAAGAGGCCTTAAAGGTCTTATTCCTAATATTTCAATGAATGAAAGTATATAAACTAATCATATTTAAATGAACATTAACATAATAGTATAATACTATGTAACAAAATAAATAAATCACATACAAAATTATAGCAAAAGGTTTATTTCTACTTACTTTCCCAAACCAATATCTTGAAAATTGGATCAGACATTGAATCGGGCGAGCTAGTAGGTCAAGATTCAACCAGTCAATTCGAGGGTCAATGGTTCGATTAACTATAATTAAAAGAATAATATTTTATATTATAGTATTAGATATTATATTTTTTGTTTTTTCACTCTTCCATTTAATATTCAATATCATTTTACATATGCCGTCATAGTTTTTCAATTTACTATTTGTATTATTTTTTATTACTATCAAATATAGTTAATGAGTATCTAATAAAACTAAAATAGTAAGGCAATAGTCATATTTTATAAAAAGTAAAGACTAGGTAATGTATTTTTATATAATATTCTGCAATGTGTATGTAGCAATTTACATTTAAATGTAGTTGATTGGAATGAGAAAAAGAATAATAAAATAATTATTTAATATATTAAGGTATAATTACTAAATATTCTTAATTTTTATTGATGATAAAATTTTAGTTTTTTTTTTTGAAAAAAATATTTTTTAGGGATAAGGATTCATATTAATCTAAAATAAAACATAAATAATTTTGTTTATTTATTTTTAAAACTTGTTTACTAAACAAATATATTACTCGTAGATAGTACTTGTGTTTCTTTTTCTAGTTAATTGGTAGTTTAGTTATAATCAATACAATAAATATATATTTTATTGCGTGAGATGTCTAACAACATACTTAGTAGCCCAAGTGGATGGAGCATCTCATTACACTTTCTCTGCCCAGGTTCTAACCTCACTCCACCCAATTTTAGTATTCTATTTATAATATAAGAGGAGTACGAAATTTGTATATATATTATTCAAAATATGAAAAAATTGTGCCCCTTATAATATTGGGCCCGGTCCGGTTGGCCAGCTCGGCCCACCCTTGGCCCTGGATTGCTAAATTATTTTCTCTTTCACCACAACATTTCCAGTTTTCATTAAAAAAATTGTTTTTATCCCTATTTTTCCCTATCATATCTATTAAATCATACTTTTTTTCAAATAATCTATTAATCTCATATTACTTTTTATCCATAACAAAATTTTGGATTATGAACGGAAATTTTTCAATTACTCGGGGTTAAATAAATACACTTGTAAAAGAGTTGACTCAAAAAAAGTCAAAAGGCACCCCATTAGCCACACTTGGGAACTATATAAACTCTAGCCTTAACAACACTGCCATTCGCGAGCTTAAACCCCGGACTTACCGGAAACCCAACCACTAGCCCCATAAAAAATCCGCCTCCAGCCGAATACTTCCCCACGCTTTCCATGTCCTCCGGGCAAAATTTTGATCCCTCGCTTGCCTCGAACTAGCACGGCCACGGCGGCTCCACAGAGAATGCCAGCAGATGAAGCATCCACACCGCCTTGGCCAGCTCTAGGAACTCGCCGTAGAACTGGCTCCTCGGGTGGTTCCCGGCCAGAACCTGCCGCCTCTGCCCCAGATCCCCGAACAGAGACTCCGTTTTGGGGTGGATGATCGCCAGATATTTCTTGAAGCAGAAGTTTCCGAAGCTGCAGTTCGGGAGTATCCCCAGCAGCTCCGCCGGATCCATCGCTTTCATGTCCCGGTACTGTGTGTAACAGCCGCGGCGGTGCTGTTCCGGGTCGGCTACGGAGGAGAGGCCGCCGTCCGTGTAGAACGTCTCGTGCTCGAACCCTTGGAACATTTTCCGGTTCAGGTACGACTCCAACGCGTACCTCGCGCGGTTCGTTCCGATTATCGCGCCCGCCGAGGCGACGGCCGCGGATGAGGCGGCTTCGATGGATCTCACGGCAGCGGCTATGTCCCAGTGTGCGGATCTCATCAGCGAGAGCAGCAAAGCCGTGAACGATTTCGAAGCCCCTTTCACCAAACTCATTGTGTTCTCGAATAGCTCCGGCGCCAGCGGCATCGCCACTGCAGATACCGGAAAGTATATTATTTAGCCCTAATTTTAAATTTCACAAAGAAAATTGCGCTTGAAAAGCTTCGTACCTTGCGATTGACTGCTGCAATTTTTTGCTTTTTGCTTCGACTTTCCTTTCTTCGCGCCACAGCACGGTGACGACGTCGTTTCGAGCTTCTCTTTCAGGATTTCAATTTCAGCTTCTTTGGATTTCAATTCTCTTCTCAAGTCCTCCACCACGGCCTCGTACGGCGCCACCACCTCCCTCAGCGTCGCCGCCCCAACTCTGCGCCGCCCTCCTCCGGCGCTCTGCCTATACCTTTCTTTCAGGACTTCGATTCTCCGGAGCTCGGACACCACCGCCACGTCAGCCACGCGCATCTTATCCGGATCCCAAGGACTGTGTGCTTCCTGAAGGCTAACGTACGCCCTCTTCAGGTTCGCCGCCGCCTCGAACACTTCCGCCAGTATCGTCTCCATTTCCGCGAGCACTTCCTTATCCCTTCCCGGAACTTCGACGTCCCCTTCTTCCCCGTCTTCACTTTCGTCCTTGCCACAGTTGAAGCAGGAGATGTCTCCACCGGATTCTTCGCCGGCGGTATTGACGACGGAGAAGTCGTGGTGATCGGCGGCGTCGACGACGAGAGGGTGAAGCAGACAAGACGCTGTAACGCGCTGGACCTGATGGGAGAAACTGGAGACCCAGTCGAGGAATGGCGGCATTGGGGGGTGAGGAGTAAAGTACGGAGTACTTGGTAGTTATTGATGAATGAATTGCTGTGACAGCTATTCATCGTTTCAACCACCAAAACGGGTTTTGGAATAAGTTTTGAGGCCAAATAGCTCCCGTGCCCGTGTTGTTTATTATTTCCCAACCATTTTCCGGTGAGGAGAGACATTGACGCATAATTTCTAAACTACGGGGCACTCGTGCTCATTTTCATATTTTTCATTTATTATTTTTGTTTTTCCTTTTTTTAAATATTTTCTATCTCTTTTCCTTTCCTAGAATTTTTTTAAAAATCTTTTATCAATTTTCTATAATGTTTTAAATATTAAAATTCTTTTTGTTTGAAATTAAAATAAAAAAAATAACATACATTTACATCTATCTCAAATTAAACATTTTTACTTTTTGTTACTTAGAATAAATTTTTGGAATTTTCAAAAATAAAACCCAGGATAAAAAAATAAAAAAAGGAAAAACGAAATGAAAAAATTAAGATACACCAAAAAGAGTCTTATACAAAAATCAACTAGTATTCTAACTCGTGCCATGCACGGGGTCGAAAGAAATTTATGTCGATTCTAAATTATTATAATGAAATTTATTTTTGAGAATAAAAATAATATATTGCTCACATGATTTTTAATACTACAAATGAAAAATGCCAAAATAAAATAAATAATATTTGAGGTACAGAATGTAGAGTTAACAATGTTTACTTTCATACCAAATTTTCTGAAAGACTTCAGGGTTTCCATTGTCATCTAGAACTAATAATTTTAATCATATTTTTGTCTTCACTCGTGAAACAGAAAAATATAGTCATAGCAAAACATGAGGCGATCGGGAATTGTCTTTTTTGGAACTTCAAGGGTAGCCCTGGATGAGATGATACCAAATTCATTTTAGTGATGTAAACTTCTAACGCCCCAAAACATACCTTAGAATTATTAATAGATAATTATTAAAATAAATCAAATTTGTTTTGATTAAAATAAATTGTTATGGGCTTTGGGCCGATAAAAATATGTTTTAATATCCCATATCATAATCAGGATAAATCTCATAGAGATAAATCCAATTTATTGACTATTTGTGTGGTCTTGATTGGGAACCTTTGGATTTCTATTTATAGAGATAAATCCAATTTATTGACTATTTATAGAGATAAATCCAATTTAAATCCATCGTCGTAGCCATGAACTTTGGATTTCTACCAAGAGAATGACTACTAAGTAGACCAACGAATTTTATGGTGTAAGGAAAAGTTCGAGATGTTCCTTCCATAATGTGAGAATGTGAAATGCTCTGGCCACAATCGTGATATATATAAGCTCTGAAAACCTGACCTTTGAAAAAAGGGTAGTTATCCTCCGTCAAAATTTGTACAACAAAGATGGATTTGATTTACCTACAAATGAGGACGTGCTCGTTAATCCTATAGTTTGCTTATGATATGACGTATTGAGACTCATGAACAGTTAGATTCGTTGTCCTGAAATACGTTCAAATCTGAGACAAAAAGTCAAAATGGCTAATGCCTTAAGACAACGACCATTTAAGTAACTTGAAAGCTTACGACGTATGAATTGATATACCTTCCAAGTTTTCAAGTATGCCTATCATGAACCTTCTATGAAGGATATTGAAGAACTTTTCAATCAAGAAAAGAAATTCCGTTGAGCAATGACGTGCAAACGAGACTCGTGATTGAATGAAGTTATGTATATGTCAAGTATGCAATACTATACACTACGAAGAAACTTTTGTCATCAATACCAAAGGATCAGTGAAGACCTTGCTTAATCGAAAATTGTTAATCTCTCAAAGATTGAGCGAGTTTGGTGACATCAACGATTTGAGAATGCGTATCTATGATACGTAACCATGTGGATATGATGCAATCATGATTAGATATAAATACAACAAGATGTTCATTGTGGACCTTAGAAGAATTTCGAGAACGAAATTCTTTTAAGGGGGTAGAAATGTAACGCCCCAAAACATACCTTAGAATTATTAATAGATAATTATTAAAATAAATCAAATTTGTTTTGATTAAAATAAGTTGTTATGGGCTTTGGGCCGATAAAAATATGTTTTAATATCCCATATCATAATCAGGATAAATCTCATAGAGATAAATCCAATTTATTGACTATTTGTGTGGTCTTGATTGGGAACCTAAGTACAGACCCAAATCAAGAATAAATGAAGAAATTAATTATGATGTGAACATTAAAATGATTTATTGAAATAAATGATGAGAATAATTAATATGAATTAAATATGAGAACCTTTTTGAATAAAGGTCAACTAAATCAATTTTTACTCTGTCAAAGTCAAATACCCAAAAATATGATATCGGAAAAAGTATAACGAATAAATACAAAACCTATGTCATTGAATAGAGCTTGACTGTCTGGTCACAACGGTGCAAACAGATTTCAATTCGGAGAAAGTTGGACTAAAAAGTGTAACCCAACTGGAACCAAAATTGGTCCCAATCAAGGACACTGTGGAGACGGCGCCTCCCAGCGCACTAGAAAATTTCCTACGCAGCATCTACTTGGAGAAGTGTCCTCTTCTTCTTCACCATTCTATATAATAAGAACCCAACCGAATCAATTCTTCACCATTCTTCTTCACTTTTCCTTCTAATTATTCCTGAGAGTGTGAGGAGTATTGTGGTGCTGCCATTTTAGTGAGAGGTCGCCGGAGTTAGGAGCTTTTGTCGCCGGAAGTTTCGCCGTTCTTTCGCCGGAATCTTCGTTAAGCTTCGAGGTAAGGCCGTAGATATATCTAATGACTAGAATGTTCATATAGATCGATTCTACGTTCATAGATGGTCATTTGGTTGAGTTTTGTGTTTGACATACTTGAAGAACTAAGAATCATAAACCATGATTTTGATGTTAAAACTATGAATTAATGATGTCAAAATGATCTATGAACCTTGGAGAACACTTTTATATACTTTAATTGAAGTTTGATGAGTAAAAGTGACATTTCCGCAAGTTGGCTCGAGGTAGAAGATGATGGATAATCGATTATCAACTTGAAAATCGATTATTCATCGTTCTGCAGATTTTTGTAACAAAGCTGAGCAACAGTCGATTATCAGAATGTGATAATCGACTGTCAGCCCTCTCTGAAGTTTGATAATCAATTATCAAAGTATGATAATCGATTATCAGCCCATTCTGAACATCAAACAGTAGATTATCAAAAGTGACAGTAGACTGTCACCCTACACTATTGAAAAAAATGAAGCTAATAGCTAATAATTGAATTTCCTATCATATATTAATCAATTGGTATTTAGAAAATATGATTTTTGAGTTATGGAATCCTATATTTTGATACCAAACCATTATGATTAATAAAAGAATGATTTCTTGGAATAAAAATGGTATTTAAACAACTAAAAGGGATCTTTTGTGATGCATGACGGTAAGCTAGGGTATTAACACTCGATGCTAGGCCGCTGATCGTTATTAGTTATTATGATGATTGATTGATTGTTCATTTTTATGAATATTATGGATTAATGATGACGAATATTCTGGATGAAATGATTGTTGAACTAAGAGTATGAATTGATGAATAATGTTGTTAAGGATATCTAGAAGAACTTTAAGATATACCTATTAGCTAATTAATGTTAAGACTATTTAGAAGACCTCTAGAATAGATCTTAGAATGAACTTATGAAAACATGAATAGTTGATGAATTAGATATAAATTCATAAACGGGATTCGTAGACCAAACTGGAGGATTACTCGTTGGAATGCCCGATCCATTGTTGACCAATCGATATATTGTTTTTGCCTTAACTGACTACAGTTAAGTGTCCGAAATCATTTGCCTTAAACTAATGATAGTTTGAGTGTCTGATTGCCTTAACTGACTACAGTTAAGTGTCCGAAATCAATTGCCTTAAACTAATGATAGTTTAAGTATCTGATTAATAATTGCCTTTTAAAAATGTGATTATGGAAATTATGATTTGGCCTTAGACTAAGAATAGCTAAGAGCATTATTATGATCTGGCATTGGACTAAGAATAGCTAACAGCGTTGTTATGATCTGGCCTTAGATTAAGAATAATTTAAGAGCACTATTGAAATAGTATCTGAATTGAATAAAATGTGTTGATATGAACTGAACAATACCAAAACTGTGAATGTCTTAAATGAACATTGTGTGCATGATATCAAATGATTTGATTATGAATTTAGATTCAGTTTATATGGATGTTCGACGCATTAGATATGCTTACTCAGCTTTACCGCTGAGCGTGTAGTGTGTTTTATTTGCTACACGGAGATACAACAGAAAGAACACTATGATCCTNTGATCTGGCATTGGACTAAGAATAGCTAACAGCGTTGTTATGATCTGGCCTTAGATTAAGAATAATTTAAGAGCACTATTGAAATAGTATCTGAATTGAATAAAATGTGTTGATATGAACTGAACAATACCAAAACTGTGAATGTCTTAAATGAACATTGTGTGCATGATATCAAATGATTTGATTATGAATTTAGATTCAGTTTATATGGATGTTCGACGCATTAGATATGCTTACTCAGCTTTACCGCTGAGCGTGTAGTGTGTTTTATTTGCTACACGGAGATACAACAGAAAGAACACTATGATCCTGGCAGCAGATGGGGCGAGATTGTCGGGATGGATGTGACAAGTTTGAAATGATTTATGATATGTCAAAATTAAATTCGCTTCCGCAATATTGCTGAATACTCTGTACTGTATATGTTATGAAAAATTATTGGGATTAATAAAGTGTGTTTGAAAAGTTTTAAATTTTTACGATTACCAAGTTAATACTTTAGTCCGGAAGGGGCTGCAGACCTGGACGGATTAGGGTGTTACAAAACTTTTTCCCCGACTTGATTTCCCGAAACCACAATTGCACCGATAACATTATTTCGCAGCTCTTGAACGATTAATCTTGTCTCATTACACAATCCAGATGTTTGGTCAATGTTCCTCAATAGCATAA